GAGGATGTGAGTGCTGAATATGAGGGGCAGAGGCTTAAGGGTGAGCTGGTGAGAATGGGAAATGCTCTGTTTGGGAAAACCTGCAGTGCTGTTTCTGTTGTCTGCCCTGGCCTTACAGTGCTGCAGCAGAATTCAGTGTGGGACAGGCAGCCTCCTCCCAATCCCCTGCCTGCAAGAGTCCCTCAGACCTCTGCTGCATGTCACCCCCTGCCAGACTGTGGCATGACTCCATAAGCATCCTGATGCTTACATTTTGCAGCCAGAGTCACAGCAGTGAAGGACCAAGGCATGAAATCTTGGCCTTCCCAGCCTCATTCTGCCTCATTCTGCCTTCTTTCTCTTTGCAATGGATGGTTGGGAGCGTGGAGGCTTACTTGGCTACTGTTTGGGTCCTCATTTGGGTGCCAACGAAGACAAGGAGAAGTCCTGCCCTGCCCTGCTGAGGCCACCAAGCTCTCAAGAACAGCAATTCTCAGGGCTGTGTTTGCACAGGGCTTAACAGGCAGAAGCTGGGGCTGCAGCACCAGGTAAGATGTACTTTAGGGACTTCAGGTTGAAAGCTGTATGCCTCTGCTCCTGACACATGTTGGTGAAAACATGGAACACTATGGGCATGCTGGTCCTGCTGGGGATGTAGGGGCTATGCTACAGGGCAGGAACAGGCTTCTCTCTGGCTGGGACAAACTTCCTCTCTTCCTCCTTCCTGCTGTTAATAGAGAAGGAGATAGAGTCCAATATTGCTGAATAAGAGTGGAAAATGCCTTTTGGCAAGTCTGTCTTTGCTGTTTTGAGGACATCAGCATTAATTATGCAGAGTTCAGGAGGGGAAGCCTCTGGGGCTTGCATGGAACCTAGTTTGATGTCCTGCTCTTACTGTGTCTTTGGCCCTACTATATTTTGTGGTCACAAGCCATGCTTGGATGGGAAAGGGCTTGGATACCTTGAGCTGGTTCCCACCAGTCCAGACTCACAGCAGCTTCCCACCAACTCCCTGCACATTGTCTCTTGATGCTCAGGAGCTCATGCTGATGTTAGCATCTCAGCCCAGGCTGAGCCAAGCTTGCCCTGACCTACAGCCTTTGAGCAGAAGGAAGGATCAGGAAAGGCACCTTTAACTATGTTCTAGTGCAACACAGTTCGTGTAGTCAGAGATGCTCCTTCACCTGTGGTGGCAGCATAAGGAAACATGCAGGGTCCTTCCCTAGAGGGAGACACTGGGATCAAAACAGAAAGCTTTGGAAAACGATCTCTGCCTTTAGTGTGTATTTGAGCTGGGGAGAGCAGCTGTTGCTAGAAAAATCCCCTTATCCCTCCCACACTGCTGGAAGGGATTTCCTTTCATAATTGGGATCTGTGCTTCTGTACTATAAGACTGCATGCTGCAAGCACCACCTTTCCTTCCTGCCCATGCTTTGACTGAAACACTCTACATAACATCAGGTACAGGTGCCAGCCCTGCACCTTGCAGCATAAGACACATTGGAGCATGCCCTGCCTGGCTGAGGGTGGGGGCAGAGAGTTCTCTCGAGTTAGCATCTGAGACCAAGATGGAAACCAAATACAGAGGAAAGAGGTATTGTGAGGCCCATGGGTTGCACTGTGCCTGGGAAAACTGACTGACTGCCTGGGAAGACCAGCCAGTCTCCTGCTCAGCTGAAAGACTCCTGGGAAAGGCCTTTGGTGAAGGATAATAAGTACGCACTGTTAATGAAGACTGTGGAGTTGTTTGTCAAAGCATTTTTCTTAATTGCCTAAATTGGTGTTGTAACCCTAGAAGAACCCTGGTGGGTCTGACCTAAAGTGATACAATGGCAGATTTCCTCAAGCCTCCTGCCGGTTGTTCTTGCAGCTGGGAGAACTAGAGGGGCAGAAGTGCTCTAAACATTCCTGTGAGGTTTTCCCAGCTTCCCACACACCTGAAGCACCTCTCCCTCCATGAGGGAGCCCCTTGTGCTTACCAGCTGGTTGGGAGGTTGCATAACTAAGGATGGTGTGGACTGCTTCTGTGCCTCCTGATTCAGCTCGTGAAAAGGCGGTGTAAGCCTTAGGCATATGCCTCATCTTCTCCATTTCTGAGTGTTCTGGCTGGGTTACTGAAGAGGCTAGGAAGGTTTATATCCAGTCCATCCTCTAGGCTTCAGGGGAAATATCTCTGGGACCTGTCTCTCTGAAATGTGTCTTAAATTACCTGTAGACTTGCAGAATTTGTCTTCAGCATGTAATGGTTTGTTTAAATAATGTTTAGATAGGCTTGTGGGCAATGTGAGCATATGAGCCTCATTTCTTTTGAGAAAGACATATTGGAAAATGGGGCTATAAAACATGCAAGAATGAGGTAAACAGTTTGGTGTCTGCAGAGGAAAATCATAGTTCCCTGATCTGTTGCAAGTCTTTCAATACTATGGTAAAATAACAGCATCTGGCCAACTTGTGTAACTTGCTTGGATGTTCAGAAAATGTCTGGAATTTCTCACAGAAAACTGTTAAGAAAACTGTGTGTGCTGGAGGAGATGTAGAGTTCTGGCTCAAAAGTTGTCTGAGGTTCCACAAAGTCAAGGAGTGAACTAGCAATTTTAATGTGACAAGAGTAGAAGGATGAGGTCCTTTGCTATTGATGGCCCAGAAAAGGTACCTAAAATCTGCCAATACCCTGGAGTCGTTTGGCTTTGTCAAGAGGAAGTGGCTCCAAAGTGACACCATTTGTAGTGAAGTGGTGGGGGAAGATGAGAAGCATGCAGCCAGGTGTATTGGAAGGAGTGATTTGCTCTTGGACATGGCTGGCTTCTAATCTACCATGGCTACTCAGGACAGTGGGATTGCAGGCTGATGACAGAGATGCTTTTCCTCAATGTGCAAAGATGCCGTCAGAGAAGTAAATAATGCTTAGCCACGTGAGAAGTAGTGTGAGGAGAGATGCTGAGAGCATCAGGGTGCTGTTCTGGCAGTCAAGGTCATTTCCCTACCCAGGATGTTGTATGTGGTTCTGGTTACTTTTCCATAGGGTCAGAAGGGAGAATGTGTTAGGGATGTGTGGGTGAGTGGTTAGCGCTAGAAGACATCTTGTGCCCTGGGAAGGAGAGAGCACTTAGTCATGAACTTAGTAGGTCTAGAAAAAGCAAATGCTTTTCTTATTTGCTTTTTTTTCATCCTTTTTTCTCCTTTTTTCAAGGAGAACTTAAGGCTGTGGTGTTACAGTAGGATTGTAGTCTTTACTCAAAATCTGGAACTCGTTGCTAAAAGTTTGCAAGGTTCCCAAAAAGGGGATTGAGAGGTATTTCTTTTTTCATTCAGTTCATCTAGATTTCATTTACAGAGGGGTGTAACCATTCATACTCCAAAGTATGTGGTACTCCTTTTAGTCTCATCCCATCATTTTTTCCCATCACTTCCCTAGAGCTTCTGAGTCTCTAGTTAATTCAGCCAGAGTGAGTTTTCCTGTCTTCCCGATTTATTCCCAACTGTGATCTCATGTCTTGTCTTGTTTTTCTGCTGCTTTTCTGCTCCTTTTTTCTGCTGTAGGCAGCCCTGCTCCACTTCTGTACCTGTCAATTATGTCTTAACAGGCTGCTTTGTGGCCTTTCCAATTCGGCTGACCCCCTCTAAATGCCTGTACCCAGATGGGCTTTTGCTTCTCGGGCTGCCCTTTGTCATCAGTGCTTCAGCTGGTTTGTAGCTGTGCACCCATTCGAGCTGAGCTGGGAGGGATCACTTTGATGTGGAGCTCTCTAGGTCACCGCAGCGAATTGTTTTATGGTCATTATCCAGCTAGTGTTGTGCTGCGATGCTGATAAATCTCTGCAGCCAGGGAGGAGACGGCCAATATTGTACCCGTGAGCTGGAGGTAAGAGCCCTGCATCCCCTCTGCTAGTGTCACCAAATAATTCAGAGCTTGAAGGGCAGTGGTGGTGGCAGTTTACTCATTCTTTGGGCAAGCGATGGCTCTTTTGCCCAGCCCGTAGGGATGGCATTTCTGGGGAAAAAAAAAAAAAGCCAGGTATTGCCCAGAAGTGATACTGTGCTATCCAGCTGTTCTGTGTGGTTCATGGTAGTAGTAAGAGGAATGGTTTAGAGATCAAAAGCCTGTATAGATTTTCACTTTCCTTCTGCAACTGATGGGATTTTCTCAGCCCTGTTCTGAAAAGTGGTTGTGTTTCTGCTGTCAGCATGTCTTAATCTGAGTTACTAAGTTTGCATTTATCCATTGCTACTATAATCAGCTCTTTGTTTCTTATGGATCTGCTCTGCACAGGAGGAGGACCTCCCCATGGCCAAGCAGTGATGCTGAGCTGTGTGCCACTGTGGGTCTTGTAACAGTTTGGGGAAGGCACTGAAATAAAAAAAAAAAAAATATTTGACCAGCTAAATAGTAGAGCCAAAGCGTCTTTTCTACTCTGTGTGCTTGCATTTAAATGGCCTCCAAGTCAGAGGAAGGAGAGAAAACAAGCAGGAGGTATGACCGGCCCCTTGTGGGTGCCCTGGGAGGTGGAGGCTGAGGCCTGCAGTCAAGAGAAGGTGATGATTCAGCCTAATAAAGCTAATGGCTTTATGCAACCAGGCAAAGGAAATTGTGGGATCATGATGCAGCAGCTGTCCTATAGCAGTTTGTTTCTGTCATCCAGAGGTGACTTCATGCCCCATCTACCCCACCTTTTCACTTTTTCCTGTACCTAAATGCTTTCCCTGCTGAGGAGGGGGAGCAGGGACACTTGAGTGTTCTCAGGAAAAGTAGTCTGTGAGACAGCTGCATCTAAATGGTGTGAGAGTAGACAAAAAAAAGAAAGGAGTTCTGGGACTCCATGGTGGGACCATAGCTACTGAAGCATGTGGGTTCTTCTGGCACTACCAAACTCAGCAGGCTTCTCAGATGAACTTGACCCTGGACACTAGTCCCAGGAAAATCCTGTAGCACAGAAAAGCCTGATCTGGTAGGCAAGGTTGGCCCCCAGCTCCAACAGGGCTACATTGTCATCAAACTGGCATGTGTCTAACCAGCTCTTTCTCTCCTTTATCCAGGGAAGACGATGAAGCTGTAGAGATGCTGCCTTACGTCATTGCCACCCTGGGCTCAGTAGGGGCCCCTTGCAAAACTCCCACATGCAACAACAACAACAGCACTACCAAGGACTACTGCTACAGTGCACGCATCCGCAGCACTGTGCTGCAGGGGCTGCCCTTTGGTGGGGTGCCCACTGTCCTAGCCCTTGACTTTATGTGCTTTCTCGTAAGTCTACCTACTGTTGCTTTGACACCTTCTCCTGTAATTAAGCATGAAACAAGGACAGTGATCAGATGACTAGGGTTGAGGGCCTCAAATGCAATCCCTGACTTTGCTGCTGGCTGGCATTCTGGCCCTGATCATGTCTCCTAGGCACTGTGATCTTAGCCACTACTGACTTAGCTCCAATACCACCACAATGAGCCCCATGGAAGGGTGTTGCAGCCATAAGGATGGAGGTGATGTTGGGTCAGTCCTGCATCTCAAAACTCCACTTTATGTTGCCAGGTCCCTGCAGCTTTGTCTACCTCTTTAGAAGCTGTGGGACCACAAATGATACAGCCATAATTCTAACTTCTAGGAACCTCAAGGCCTTTTGATCCTGTGGGGCTATCTTAGCTTCATGTGTTGCATCCTGGACCTCTGCCTCCCACAGCTATCCAGATAGTCTGATTTAACAGACTGTTCCTGGGGAACTTGTGCTCTCCTGTGGTCTCAGTGTGCTCTTAATTGAGGACTCTGACCCCTCCTACCCTCCTTGTTCCTGTGGCCCTGCATGTAGAGTGTCACCCTGGAAACTGAAGCCTTCTGATAATGTTTTCGTAGTTTTAGTTACTTTCCCATGAAAGCTCTACAAACATAAGTTGTTTATCACATTCCTTCTAAGAAACATCCTCTGATGGATGTTTCTCATGACCAGTGTGCTTGGGAAGATGGTAACTTAATTATCCAATCCCTGGTCATTGTTAACAATCTATAAATACTGGAGTCAGAGAATAAAGGCACTGTTTTTTTCTGTTCTGACACTGAGAGGTGTTCATGTGAATCATTTCGTGTCCTCTAGTGACAGTAGCAGACAAGGACAAAGTTGGACAATGCCCTTTCTCACAGCATCTCTTTTGGTCTCTTTCAGGCACTGTTGTTTGTCTTTTCAATTTTACGTAAAGTTGCTTGGGACTATGGACGCCTGGCCCTGGTGACTGATGCTGACAGGTAAGCACGGGAGAGTGGCAAGGGAATAAGATATGATTAGTGCCTTTTTTTGCTGTGAGGCAGAAGGGATAAATCCCATTTTGTGTGCCTGAGCAGCTGGAGAGGAGAGGCAGATGTGCTGGTTGCATCCCCTGAGCTCCAGGAATAGGAAGAAATCCCTGCTTACTGGCCTTTTTGTTACAGCATCCTTCTCTCAACACACTGAGTGGTCCCCACGGGCTCCATATCGCTTATGGTCCCTTCAGTGACAGAGATTGCAGGGACCCTTACAGAGGACCAGCAGATGGAGGGAGGAGAGGACTAAGAGGTCACAGGAAGGGTGAGAGCTACCACAGTAAAGGCTTTGTTAAGCATCTGAAGGTGTCTTTTTGACTGCTGGATGCAGTTCTTCTTAAGAGCACTTGGCAGTAGTATGCTGCTTTTCCAAGTGTGGTACTGCTTAGCTCACATCTCAAGTGCTGATAAATTGGTCTGGGTGTAGATCCTTCCTGCCCAATGCAGTGTCTGTCAGCAAAAGCCAAGGCCCATTGGGGATGGCAGCTCCATAGCAGAGGGAGCATTCCCTGCACAACAGTGGGAATAGTTGGTTTTATCCAGCATCAAACCAGGAATTCTCCTGGTTTAAATAAATGGTCCTGGATAAGGTTAGATAAGCAGCTGTGTCACTGTGGCTCCTCTGCCCATCCTTCCCTGGTGTGGCTGGGGAAATCAACTGTACAGAAGTAGTGGAAGGGAAACAAGGAGAAAGGAATAATTACAGGAGATGCCAGTGGGGAGAAGGCAGCAGAGTTAAGCAGTCAGGGTTTAGGTGCTGGAAGGAAGCCACTGGGGCTGCACAGCTCTTGCCTCCAGTGGGGAGAGAGGGCTGGATTTTCTCTGAGGCAATGCTTGAGCACCTTGGGTGCGAGGGAGTGCAAGCAGTGGCTGTAAGCAGAAAGGCAGAGAGGTACCAGCTGTTTGGAGAGGGAGAGCTGGTAAGCACAGGGAGAGGGACATGGTAACTGTGGATCAAGCTGTGGATCAACAGAACTGCAGACACAGGGAGGAGTCCATGCTGCTTGGCTCATCCATGGGGTAGGATGAGATTTTCAGGAGGGAGGTGCATGTGTGTTTGTTGCCTGGGTGGGGAGGAGATGTATGGGAGGGGAGCTCAGATGGCAGCCAGGCAGTTCCTACAGTCTCTCCTACTTGACCCCGTCACTCAGGAGCTCGCTGCAATGTCCATGGTATGAAGCCAAGTCACCTTCCCAGTGAAGCCAGCTTCCCTTCAGCTGGCAGCAAAGCATTCTGCCTCTGGACCAGTGGGTATTCCAGATTGCTGTGAATTGAGGCATTGCTGAGCTCTGGAAGGAAGGTCTTCTCCAGCCTGACCATTGGCAGGTTTCTCTTCTTCAGGATGATGGGGAGCCATGTTGTATGCAAAAGAGAAAAAAGTTCCCTGCAAAAGAGAATTCAGCACCTACTCCCGTGGTTGTAACCTTTCCCTTTCTGTTTCTGTGCCCCCAGGCGCCGACGCTGGGAGACGGAAAGAGAGGAGCGGGAATAGTATGTTGTTTTTTCAGGGTCTCATGTCTTCTCTCTTTCTTGCTCACAACCTCTCTCTTCTTTTTTCTTGCAGCTGTCTTGCTTCTCAACTAATCTAAATGGGAGCTTGGGCATGAATTTGTGTCTCTCGGTGGATTTGTGCTCTTCTTTCCCTCCCCTTTGTGTCATCCACTACCACAGCCGAATGCACCCTGGTTTTCCCCAGTAGCCCTTAAATGCTCCTTGAGATCAGCAGTGCCAGGGAGCTCTCAGTCCTGACCAAAGCAGAGGGTGCTGTATCGCAAGTCCTGCTCTATCTGCTTGTGTCCAGCTATCCTGTCTTAGGATGGAAGTAAACAAACCTGCTTGCCTGGGCCCACAGCACACTCAGGTGACCCAGGTGCAGGGGAGGTGACTTTGCCTGGTCCTTCTTGTGCCAGGTTGCTACAAGAGCTCTTCCCTCACCATCTGCAAGGGTAGGCAGATGGACAAAGAGGATCTGACAAGAGTACTGTCTTTCCTTTTTACCCCATGAGGCTGCTGGGACCAGGGTAACCTTTGGTCCTTGTCCCTTACCACCTAAACCCACACCCAGAAAGGCAGTGCCCTTGATTTTCTCTCTTCCCCTGTGGAAGAAGCCTTTTGCCTCAGTGCTGCTGAAAGCATCCTTTGTCACCTTGGCCTGGTGATGCCCATCAAGTTCTGCAATGGACTGTCCTCCCTGTTTTTACCTCTTTCTTGCTGCTTTTATGCCTGAGGAAAGACCATTGCCTGTGCCTTGCTGACTGGTTGGGTGGTATGTGCTGCAGAGGGGATAATCAGCTGGCAGTGCACCGCCTGCCATGGTCACTCCAGCTACACTGATTTGTGTCTGAGGCTGGGGCAGCAAACTGCAGCCTCCTTTTCTCACTTGCAAAGCAGGGGCCTGATATTGCCTTAAAGGAGCTACAAGAATGAGCCTGTTTTTGCAGCTGATCCTTGCCCTCAGGAGCAGAGCAGTTGAAGCTGTTAAAACAGAACTGGTGGTTGCTGTGGTACATGGCACAGAGGGGACCTCTCACTCATGCTTGACTGCTTCACTAGTGGTTGGCCCTGCTTCAGGTGTGTCTGGCAACTTTTCTCCGCTAACATCTTGTGGGAGGAGTAAGGCAGAGGTAGTAGAGCCATCATGCTCTGCATGTTTTTTAGGGGGCCACGTCATTTATCTTCACAAGTGCTTGTCTCTCTCCACAGGGCAGCTTCTTCCTGCTCCTGTTTTTGAGTTTGTTGGAGCCATCTGCTCCATACACACCACACATACCACCCCTAAACCTACTGCATGAGCTGGAACAGTGTTAGCAGCCAGAAGCCTCCATAACCTGCAGAACTCAGTGAGGGAGTCTTATTCTGTCTGTGCTCCTTCAAGGCTAATGGTACATTCACATCCCAGCTGTTCTTTGCTGGGGAGTGCAGTGACAGGTGGTGGGTTAGGAACATGTATATGTCACCTGGTGCTCCCAGCCCCTGAATGTATCAACATGGTTCTTTGCAGGAGAGGGCATTCTCCTCTGTTGTGTTCCCTTTCCCTGAGAAACAAAGGCCCTTGTCCTGTGACTTGTCAGAGCTTGCAGTAGCCATCAACAGTTGCAACTGGCAAGTCAGTCTGCACTGGGAGATCATAGCAGCCCACTTGCACTTCTGCATGTGAGGGAAGTGATCACAAAGCCCTGTGGGGCTTGCCACCTATGCAGCCACCTACAGCTTCACACTACAGCAAGCCCTTGCCACAGCATGTCTGGCCTGCCGTCTTGCCTGTGATTCCTTTGGCCTAAGGCTAGCTGTGCCTCAGACCCTGTCCTTCTCCTTCCCTGGCAGGGCCTGCACCAGACCTACATCCTGCAGGCTCCCACCTTAATCTTGTGATTTGGGGCAACCTTGCTTTCACCCACTTGAACTTGTCAGTACTTTGCTTTAAAAAGTCTCCATCCAGGTGCAGGTGCTGTTGGAGCTCCCTAATCAGCTGTCTATCTTTGGCAAGGTTTTGCACCCTCTGTCTTCTAAACACTTAAGGTCATCCTGATTATTGTCACTGCATCCCCCCACAGAGACATGAGTTTTCTTGGTTATCCAAAAGCTCATGGTGTCACTATGCTGGGCTTTCCTCAGGGCAGAAATTTCTCTTCAGCAGAAATTCACCCTCACTCCCTGTGCCCAGCTGCAAGGTCTCTGTGATTATTAAGAGCTGAAGATCTGAGAGTTGGGTCGAAGCTGTCTCTGTCCCTTCAGCAGAGCAGAGTGTTGGGCTGCCCAGTGGCAAGGCTGCACGCCGCTGTCTAATCTGCACTGCTGTAGTCCCCTGACCTTCAGCTAATCTCCTTTCCCCTGTCTGTTACTTCCAGCTAGGAACTGGGGATTTAGCAAGTGCTACTCTGCTCTGAGAGAGGCCATCTGTCTCATCCACTTTCCTTCAGAATGTCCATGAGGATCTCTCCTTATTTTCCTTCCCTTAGTGTCATCCACCTCCTCTTTAGCACTTGTCTCTCAGCAGCTGTTTCTGTGTTCTTTCCCATCTTACCCTCCTTGAGCCTGTACTGACTACAGGGAGACCATATTTCCTTTTTTTTTTTTTTTCCTTTGTTTCTAGCCTTCAGATCAGTCATATCTCTTCTTTCACCTCTGAAATCCCAGCCTGCTGTTGTCATCTTGCAAGTGCTATTTAATTTAGGTCTCTAGACCATTTTCTTACCTCCTTTTCCAGCTGCCCTCTGCCTCTGTTTGTAGTGGGGGCTATTGTCAGCCTTGGATGCTTCTGCTGTAGGTTCTTCATCTAGGTCCCTGCCTCTGGCTGGAGTAAAGTGGTTTCATGATATTCACCCCATTTTCTTTCCTGTCCTTTACCATGGAGACATTTACTTCCAGCTCTCTGCCCTGTTCCTGCTCAAGGGATTTCCAGGGTGGAGGCTCAGCTGAGTCTGAGACGCAGGTTACGCTGACCCTGGCTCCAGTCAGCTGCATTCTTCCTCCAGCACTGAAGAACTAAGGGTGGGAAGGACTGGTGTACAGGATGCAGCCCACCAGACTCCTTCCTTCCTCTTCCTGGAGATGAGTGAAGTCCTGCAGGACAGGAGCTGTTCCCAGTGCCTCTCCAGCTATTCCAGAGCCAGAGGGGCTGTGGAAGCCTCCAGTTCTCTCTTCCTTTCTGCTGTCTAAACCCTGTGCTAAACAGACCTCACCTCTCCTCTGTGGCAGCTTCTGCCAACCTCTCCTTGCAGTGACTGCCACATAGTATGGGTGCCTTCCAGAAGGTGCCTAATAAGTAGCATCCATGGGCTAAGCTCATGGGCTTTGCCAGGCTCAGCGTGCCATCTGAGGAGGGTTCTCTCTTTACTGCTACCTCTGATCTTACCTTTCTCCATCTCACCGGGTGCAAACTGACCTGAATTAACCTCTAGTCTCCTGGGTGCACTTGGTTCCTGGCCAGGCTGCCTCTTCGCATCTTCTAACTTTCTCCCTCACATTCCACTTGTCATTTTAGCATAGCCTCCGCCCTGCATTCTGACAACCATGACCGCTATGAGCGCCTCACCTCTGTATCCAGCTCTGTGGACTTCGACCAGAGGGACAATGTGAGTAGCCACAAGAGTCAAATGCTTTGCCTTTGAGGGGCCAGGAACCCACAGCTTGGCTGAACCAAGGGCTCTTCAGAAAAAACACTTTTGCCCGTTCCTGGGCTTTAAGTCCCACATCTTGCAGTGTGTGAGTGCTGTGTAGAGCTCAAGGAACTATGCAGCTCTCAAACATGTGCTTAAATAAATAGGCTCTACATCACTATGGCTTAACAGACGCCTGTCCAGCCTATAATCTCAGCATTACAAACAATACTTACTTGCCAGCTCTTCTTCACACTGTGGTATACCTATACTGTTTTTTCCCCTCAGTGAAGGGGAGGATAATGGGTGTGATGGATGGGGGGTGAAGCTCCTCCAGGTGTCCTTTGAGGAGCGCTGCTTTGGCCCGGCCTACCTTCCCAGTCCCTGCAGAGCTTCTCTTGTCCATCATGATGGCTAAAGTACCTGTATGCTGTATTTTCTGGGTCTACCTAGGCTTTGGAGAGCTTCCATATTAGCCAGGAGCCTGGGTTGCCTGGAAGGTCGAGCTGCCAGTTGATAGGGGACAGCCCACAGCAAAGTCCAACCTGTGTTGTTCTCCACTGTCACCTCCTTCACCTTGGCCCATCTGTGGCTCTGCACATCTGGGTGCTTGTTGTCTTTCCCCCCGCCCAAGCCAAGTATGTGCAAGGACACCAGCCTGGTCCCTGGAACCTTTGAAGGAGGGAGCTGGGATAAAGGAACACAGAGTGTTGTGAAACTGTCCTGTTTTCTTTTTGCACAGGGTTTCTGCTCCTGGCTGACGGCCATCTTCAGGATAAAGTGAGTGCTCCAGAACCTGTGTGGGGGACCCACATGGGGAAGGAGGGGCAGTACAGGGTTGTTGGGACACCCACTGCAGTACAGCTTCATGAAGTCACTGTCCTTGCTGCAGCCCCCTCTCTAAAAAGTGTAAGTTTGTCCTCTGGAGAGGACAAGTAAAGACAGAACTACATGAGGAGCCCTAAAGACAAAATAACATCACACAGTGAGTCTGTGACAGAGGAGAGAACCCAGGCCCATGGCTGCCCCTCCATCATTCCCATCTCAGAAACACTGTCCATTGCTCTGCAAAGATACTCACCTCCCTGGCACTCTTGCTAGGGGCACTGCTGTCTCAGGAATGGCTATGAGAAGGATGCAGGGAGACACCCTCAGCTTGATGATGCACAGGAGTAGTCTCCCAAGCACTTCTACTCAGAGTGCTGTGGGGGATAATATCAGCGTCTGTATCTTAGCAGGGAAGGCAAGGCCCAACTGAAGGGTATAAGGTGTGTCCAGTTGCCTTTTCTGGGGGACAGAGAGCAGGGCCATGGGAAGCAGGTCTGGGTAATCATTGCACAGGCAGGTTTTTGCCCAGGCTACTTCAAGGCTGAGTGCTGGGCTCCCAAGCCCAGAGTCTGGCTACAGCTCTGTAGGGCAGAACAAGGGGTGCTGTGTGTGCTCAGATCAGGAGGGCAGCTGCAACCCTGCACTTTCCCCCAACACTTCAGGAAATGTAGAAAATTGCCTAACAGCCTTTTTCTCCCTGGCAGGGATGATGAGATCCGGGATAAATGCGGGGTTGATGCAGTGCACTACCTGTCCTTCCAGAGGCACATCATTGGGCTGCTCGTGGTCGTGGGTGTGCTGTCTGTGGGCATCGTGTTACCTGTCAACTTCTCAGGGGACCTGCTAGGTGAGAACAAGGAGCCTTTGGCTGGGCTGGGGCATCTGCCTTTCAACACCATGTTCCAGACCAGTGGTTAGCAGTGGAGGGCAGAACAGGACTAACACAGACAAACCCTAACTCTTGTCTCATTTTGAGTGTAGTGCATTCACAGGGTCATCCTGTGTAACTTGGGGTTTTAGGTGTTTTGCAGGTGATAATTCTTGCTGTAGCTCACTCTAGTGGTGCTCTGTCCCATTCAGTATAACTGAACATGCTTTTGTCTGCCTCTTTGTCCCTAGAAAACAATGCCTACAGCTTTGGGAGGACAACTATCGCTAACCTGAAGTCTGGGTATGTGTGGGCAGGGGTGGGATGGATAATTGAAGCCCCCAAGGTGTATTTTGTAAATGTTCGCTTGCTGCAGAGCCTGATCTTCTTGAAGGCTGTATATCTGCCCTTTCTTTGAGGCTACTGTCCCTGCTCTGTTTTCCAGGCTGAGCTCCTGGAATTTGGTTGTAGGGCATCTGTGTGCTATGCTGAAAATGCACTCATGGCCCCAGTGCCTTCAGGGCCTGACCAGCCTTACACAGACTTGTAGTGACCTTTGCATTGACCTTTGTTGTCTCCCTTGTGACAGGAATAACCTGCTGTGGCTGCACACCACGTTTGCTTTCCTGTACCTGCTGCTGACAGTGTACAGCATGCGCCGGCATACTTCTAAGATGCGCTACAAAGAGGATGACTTGGTGAGCAGGGTCTGGCCACTGTCCCAGGCACATTTTCCTATGCCCTGTGGTCAGGTCAGGTAGCATTGGAGACAATGCTGAGCCCCTCAGTTTCCACAGCAGTTTAGAGCTGCCATGTTTTGGCTGTTTTTACTCAGCCTGGCCAAAGGCAGATCGTCTCCAGAGCAGCAGTTGTGACTGCCTATGGGGAAGCAGGAGAGGCCTGCACTGGATAAACACATGGAAGGACCCCATTCTCCCTTAGGGATTGTTCCAGCTACCTTTGCCTTCTTCATTTCTGAAGGGTAGCCCTGTTTCTGTTCAGGCACCTGTAGTGTAAGTCCCTAGCCTGTCAATCTGCAGCGCACCCCAGTGCAGGATGACAACGACTAGCAGAAGCACAGGAGAGGAGGAGCCCTGGTAGCTAGAATTGATGGGGCCACCTTTTTTCATCACTGGTGCAGGTCTTGGTAGGGGGCTTGCTGCAATCTGGTCTTTTACACCATCCACACCTACCTGTCCTCTCCTTTCCCTCTTCTTCCCAGGTTAAGCGAACTCTATTCATCAATGGGATCTCGAAATATGCTGAGCCAGAGAAGATCAAGAAGCATTTTGAGTAAGTCTCACTGTGTCCCTAAAGACTTCCCTGTAACAGGGGTGTTTTTATTAGGGTAGTACTAGTGTTACCTGGAATGGCAATAATACATTGAGAACAGAGAGCTAGGCAAAATTGGTGAGTACTTCTATCTTGTGCCTCTCACTGTTATTTTTCTGCTTTTTATCTAAATTTGAAGTATCCTTTGTTTTGTGCCTTTGGATATGCCCAGCTATCTCTTGCAGAGCTATAGGAGGTCAGTGTGGTAAGCAGTGCCCCTGCTTATCAGGGCATGTCTTGAAATGTAGTTAAGTTGACAGATGAGATACAGGCAGGAGGTGATCAAGCAGTGACTGGGATGTTGTGCTGCTGCCCTGATCACAGTTCTTGTAGAAAGTATATCTCTTTAACGAGAAAATGAAATTCCTCTTCTCTCAGAACCTCACTGTCAGGAGAATCATGTCTAGAAGTACCATGGGTGGAAAAGAAATGGTTTTGTACCCTTTGGTACAAAGAGGTACCCTTTGTGCCTCTTTCTGACCACAAGTCTGTGAAGGCAGAGAGGGGAGTGTGGGGTTAGAGAGGCTCCTGGCTGCTATAGGGCAAAAGTTCTTGTGCCAACACCTAAAGGATGTAGCATTTTCCCTGTATTTTGTGTCTGCTGCAAGGGACAGAGCCTGTAGGTTCCCCTGCAAATTCTTGGTATGCATCACTGTACTCAGCCCAGGAGACTCTTCTCAGGTCCAGGGAGAAGTCCTGAACACTTGTAGTTTGCTTGAGGGGTACCTTTGGTCCCAGTTGTGGTGAACTGATGCTTCTCATCCACAGGGAGGCCTATGCCAATTGCACTGTCCTGGAGGCCCGTCCCTGCTATGATGTTGCTCGACTGATGTTTCTTGATGCAGAGAGGTAACCTCTATTTTGGGAGAAAAGACAGAGTGGGCTGATGTTGCTGGTACCCCCTCAAGTCTGGTGCCACAGAGCTTTTATGAGTCACCCTCTTTCTTTCCTTTCTTCCTTCTTTTCCACTCTCATGTTTCAGGAAGAAAGCTGAGCGTGGGCGAATCTATTTTACCAACCTGCAGAGCAAGGACAACACCCCATCCATGATCAACCCCAAGCCCTGTGGCCACCTGTGCTGCTGTGTCATCAGGGGCTGTGAGGAGGTAAGGGAGAGCTGGAGGTGTTGGGCAGCAGTTGGGTGTCTCATGGCTTGGGTCCCCAGATCATCTCTCCTCTGACTTCTGTCCTTCTGCTCAGGTGGAGGCTATTGAGTATTATACCAAGCTGGAGGAGAAGCTCAAAGATGATTACAAGCGGGAGAAGGAGAAGGTTAATGAAAAGCCTCTGGGGATGGCCTTTGTCACCTTCCACAATGAGACCATCACAGCCATGTGAGTGCAGATGGTCCTGCCCTCCCAAAAAAGGTGACTTGTCCCAGCCTTTGCCTTAAATCAGAAGAACAGCAGCACTAAGGCATCCCCTTGGCTTGTGCCTGCTAGCCTTTTGTGTCAGCATGTCCCTCTTTCTTCTTGTCCAGAATTCTCAAAGATTTCAACGCTTGTAAGTGCCAGGGCTGTGCATGCCGTGGGGAGCCCAGAGCGTCCTCCTGCAGTGAGTCCCTCCATGTCTCCAACTGGACTGTCAGTTATGCTCCTGACCCACAAAACATCTACTGGTGAGCAGCTCTGTAGGGTTCAGTGGCCCTGCCAGTGGGAAGGGGGTGCACCCTCCCTTTCTCTGTCTCCATCTGCTCCTCCAGTAACTCAGGGAGTTGTTCTTGCTGAAGTCCAGCCTGGCTGAGCTAGAGGTCTGATCTGACTGGGAGGGGGAAAGCCTTGGGCTGACACCCTAAGTGCTGCTCACCAGGCTGGGCTGTAGTGTGCATGCAAAGCCCACACCTGGTATTCCACCCTGTGCAGCCATCCTGATGCCCTCTTTCTCCCTCCCAGGGAACACCTCTCCATCCGGGGCTTTGTATGGTGGATCCGCTGCTTTGTGATTAATGTGGTCCTCTTCATCCTTCTCTTCTTTCTCACCACTCCTGCTATCATCATCACCACTATGGACAAGTTCAATGTCACCAAGCCTGTGGAGTACCTCAATGTAAGGATTTTGGAGATGGGTGCAGGGTGGGTAACACAGGAACCACACCAAGGCACAACATCCCCTGCAAGGCTAGGGATAGGGAGAGAGATTGTTCTTCAGGTCCTGTCATGAGGTCTGACCATGAGGGAGGTGCTGAGCCTGGACAGGATGCAGTGGCAGTCACAGTGCTGGGGCCTTGGCATCAGCAAAGGCAACTGTACCTGTGGCTGGTACAAGAGCTGGTGCACCATGTAATGTGATTTCTTCTCTGCCTTGTTTCAGAACCCAATCATCACGCAGTTCTTCCCCACCCTGCTGCTGTGGTGCTTCTCTGCTCTTCTGCCCACCATTGTATACTACTCTGCCTTTTTCGAAGCACACTGGACCAGGTAAGGACAGCCAGCACCTGTTCTTACCTTCTCAGTGAGCTGATTGGCCACCAGACACTTCTCACTGACATAAAGCTACAGGCTGGATCTTGAACTTCTGTCTTCCACTCCAAGCATTATGTTATGTTGCACATCTTGGGCACCTGGAGACTGCTGTGGACAGTTGTTCTGCCAGTCTTTAGCTTCTGTTGTGCAGCATGGTTATCTGAGTAGAACTTGACAGGTGTACAATAAGAAAAAAGCTGGGAGGTGTTGGGACTGGTCACCATGAGAAATGCTAGTAGTGAGGGAAGTCTTGGCTCAGGTGAGCAGGCATGGGTATGGTGTGCCTGTACCATATGTAAGATAGAGCAGTTCCAAGGGAAAATTGTTTTAGCTGCTCTGGCTCCTGACCACAGGGAAAGCACTTCAAGTGCAGAGCACTAGAAGCATGCTGCTTGTGAGGCACATTCCCCACAGGACACACAATGTAAACTTTGTTTTCTGGTCTGTGTGGCAGAGACTGGTGGGGTAGAGTGTCATCAGCTCTCAGGATTGCAGGTCAGGGAAGATGATTGCAGAGCCTGTGAGACAAGAGGAAAAGAACGGAGACTCTATAATGGATTTGAAATACGCTGGAGGGAAAGGGGATGTATTCATGTACTAGGAACAGACAGGGTGGGATTTAGATTAGATATTGCGAAGTTCTTAGTGATGGAAAGCCATTGGGGGCACAGCTTGCATGGCTGGTGGGGTGAAAGGTTAACAGCCTCTCTGTCCTCAGGTCTGGAGAGAATAGGACAACCATGCACAAGTGTTATACCTTCCTAATCTTCATGGTCTTGCTGCTGCCGTCACTGGGCCTGAGCAGGTAGGGGTTGTGGAAGGGAAAGGCAAATACAGAGATGTGGAGCACAGGGAGGGTTGAGTTGCACCCCTTATTGTTTTTTTTACAGCATTCTTTCCTCACTGCACTGTTGCCCAGGTCACCATCCCCTTGGGAGACCGGTGTTTAATTTTAGTTGAGGGGGAACAGGCCAGACCATACATGACTGGATCTCTAGGACTTTATTGATTCAATCTGCAAATACATTGACATGTGCCATGGTATTAGAAATAATGCAGCAAAGGTTGGCTAGATGGTAGATGAGTATATGTGAAAAGTCTGCTTGATACAAAGGAGGCATTCTCCAGCTCTGTGCTCAGTGTGCAGTCAAAATTTTGCACAAAACTAGTGAATTCCCGCTATAAGCCAGAACTTGAATAGGTTGCGCTGCTTGGCTGGGTGGGATAGTGTGGGTACAGAAATGCTCATCTGTTTGGGTGTATGCCTCAAATCTTCCTGCAGTTTATAGAATTCCCCTGTGGGAAACATTGATGCATCCATCACCTGCCAGCCATTGGTGTGGGCTCTAGCACTGAACAGGGGCCAAGTAGGGGAAGAGTGTGACGAGGAAAAAACTGAGGAGTGGGTGGGGGACAAGGAACTCTAATTGTGCTAGTTCATTCTTTACACATTTTGGGGCCAGGGATCTTTAAGATCTCTTCCAACCCAAGCCATTCTGTGATATTATTGTAGACAATAATTCTACACCCCACCTAAATTCTGTATTTGAGATATCCAGCCCCTCAGTGGTGATGTCAGGCAGCTCCTGAGAATAGACAAACCCTCTGATAGTGACAGAAGAATAGTCCTTCATCCCACTGGGTGACTACATGCTTGCAACACAAATTTAAAAAGCCTTGTTGCATGTAAAATTTCATCTTGGGCAGGTAAATGCTCTCAGAAGATTTGTATTTTGACCACAAAACAGACCGCACTTCCTTCTGAGGAGCTGATCCCCCTGCTGTTGCCTGTTGAACTCTGTATTCCACCAGTGCCAGAGGATTGGATGGTTTTATATAAAAAAATCAAAATTGAGGAAAATGGGATTTGTTTCTTCTAAGGGATTTTTTATCTCTTGTTGGAGGGTACCTTGTACCTAACCAGTTTCTTCTGCAGAATCAGTCATCTGTTCCTTACGTGGATGTTGTGCCCAAATAGAGGAGAGAGGAAAAATATTGATAGGATCAGGGTAAAGGGATAAGAACACACATGAAAGGGAAGCTTTACGTCCCTTTTTGGGTATTGCATTGTTTTGTTCTGGTTTTTTCCTATATCCAGTTTACATACTTGCTGGTGACACACTCCAGCAGGGAACAAAACGGTCTATGGTCAGAGCTTTGGATCCTTCTAGAGCAGCTACAACATATGTGCATTTTTGTCTGCTGCTGCTTCTGATGGTTCATCTTCTTGCCTTCTTCCCCCACAGCTTGGATGTATTTTTCCGCTGGTTGTTTGACAAAAAGTTCCTTGCTGAAGCTGCTGTGCGATTTGAGTAAGTGGAGTTGAGCAAAAAAGGCGTTGTTTTACAATGGGAGGTGGTTCTTGTCGGCATCCAAAGGTTGTGGGGGCTCCCAGCTACTGCCCTGCAAGGAGGGAGCACCCTGTGCAGGCTGCTCTTGCTGCATCTCCCCAGGTGTGTGTTCCTGCCAGACAATGGGGCTTTCTTTGTCAACTATGTTATCGCCTCTGCCTTCATCGGGAATGCCATGGACCTGCTGCGCATCCCTGGTTTGCTCATGTACATGATACGCCTCTGCCTGGCCCGCTCGGCGGCCGAGCGGAGGAACGTCAAACGAGTATGTAGCGGGGCTGAGGGAGGGGAGTGCTGTGATGGGACCCCAATGGGGCTTGCCCAGTTCTGTGTATAGAGCTGGGTATGTTGCACATACCCACTCAGCTTTCAGGGTCTTTCTGCTGATGGGTCTCCATTCCCTCCTGCAGCACCAGGCCTATGAGTTCCAGTTTGGGGCTGCTTACGCTTGGATGATGTGTGTCTTCACTGTAGTCATGACATACAGCATCACCTGCCCCATCATCGTCCCTTTTGGTAAGCAATACCCCTCTGCCTCCCTGTGCCAGAAGTGGAGGGGAGGCAAGAAGGCTGATGTGGGGGAGGTACTCCCTATCAGTCTAGCAAAGAGGCTGATGCCCCACTCATCTGGCTTTCTTCCCCTTCTCCCAGGGCTCATGTACATGCTGCTTAAGCACCTGGTGGACCGATACAACCTGTATTATGCTTACTTGCCTGCCAAGCTGGACAAGAAGATCCATTCAGGGGCTGTGAATCAGGTAGTGGCAGCCCCCATCCTCTGCCTCTTCTGGCTTCTCTTCTTCTCCACAGTGCGCACAGGTGAGCACTGCACTCGGATGCCAGTCCTTAACCTCCTGCTGAGCCACTTCCCTGCCCAGGCTCTGATCCTGGCAGCCTCCAGCCACAGAGCACAGTCACAGTCCTTTTGACACTGCCACTTTGGTTTTCCTTCGCCCCAGGGTTCCTGGCACCCACTTCCATGTTCACCTTTGTGGTCCTCGTAATCACCATTGTGATCTGCCTGTGTCACGTCTGCTTTGGGCATTTCAAATACCTCAGTGCTCACAACTACAAGGTGAGGCAGAATGGGTTGGGTGGGGGACCCTTCTCCTTGGTAGCACAGCTTAACCACAAAACAGCAGGGGCTCTAGGGGAGGTCCCAGCCTGCTCTTCAGCATAGCCTGTCAGCCCTGACTTCATGGAGGGGATAGTCCTGAGGCTGTCTCTACTGCTTCTGAGGTGGGACAACAAGTACATTGCCCTGGCTCTCTCAATTTCTCCTTTTCTCTCCAGATTGACCACACAGAAGTGGATGCCATGGACAACAGGCAGAACGGGAGACCTGCTACCAATCTGCCTGCTCCCAAATCAGCTGTGAGTCACTATCCCCACCTCTGTGCCCTGGCACACTCCTTACCTGAGTCTGGAAAGGGGGAGGTAACTCCCTGCGTACCTCACTCCTCACTTCTCATTTTTCTGAGTCAGCACGTGGATCCTCCCAGTGAGGGTGAGAGGCAACTCTTGGGCACTGCGCCCCTCACCTGCTCTGGGTGATGAAGTGTAACCCCCACACACACACCTCTTTCCCGCTGCTCCTCAGATGCTGTGCATTTACTTTCCGTCTCTCTTTCGGCTGGGACAGTGAATCCAGCTGGGTCAGTCTCCCTTCTCATTCTACATCTTTGCGCGCTTGCACGTCAGCAGAGGCTGTCACCCACCAGGCTTGTCCTAGTGCCAACACAAAGGTGTCTCCATGGACATTGCCTTGAAGGCCGTGGAAGTGCTTTGGGGACTCTTCTCTCCCCTGTCCAACACTCTGAGACCCCCAGAGGCAGTTCTCAGAACTTCACCTTGGCTCAACTGGCTCACTCCAACTGCTTCCTTCCATAAGGTTTTTGTATTGGGAATCTACGCAGGGCTGCAGAGATGGGGTAAAGCAGAGCCTCCTGTTTCCACAAGAGAGCAGGGCTGGGGTGTGCATAATCCAGGCTCCTTCCTAGTCTCCAGACACCTAAGTGCAGCAACACTTTGCCAAAAGGAGAATCCCTATAAGAGGCAGGCAGTGCTTCAAGGACACATCTACTAGCAAAAAAGGGAATGCAGTCTTCCAGTTCACAGGGGCTCCAAAGAGCCTGAGAAGCCACATTCTTTCCCACCCCAGGTGCCCTGTCCCAGAATGCTGGGGTTTGAAACACATCTAGTGTTTCAGGGCCAAGCCCCACTCTTACACCTTTCCTGGTATATTCCATGGAGTCTGGTTGCTTCCTTTCCCTCCCAGCATATCCCCACGCTCAGCCTCATGCATGGTGCTTAGTGTGTTGTGCTCTGCTTCCTGGAGAAGTTTCTCAGACTCATGTGTGTTTCTACTCTCTCCCATGCCTGGCCCTGACAGAAGTACATCGCCCAAGTGCTGCAGGACTCCTCACCAGAGGGCGAAGCAACAGAGTCAGAGGAGCAGGGATCACAGGATGAGGAGCTCATCAATGCAGATGGCATGAATGACACAGATTTCCAGTCGTGTGAGGACAGCCTGATAGAGAATGAGATCCACCAGTAGGGACCTCAAAGGGTGGGAGGGGAAGGAGGCCCAGCAGCAGGGCAGGCTGTGTGCACAGAGACCTGGGAAGAGGTACCTGAGGGTGCTGGCTACTGCCCTCACCCTCCCGCCCCCAGGGCCGCTGCCTTCAGTGAGGGCAGGGGCCCTGCTGCAAGCTCTCCATCTCCCTGCCCCTCCACCCCTGCGCCAGCCTGGCTGCTCGGCAGGCATGCTCTTTACTAGCTACCTTCTTCAACACATCTCTGGACCCCAGACTCCCAGAGGCTGGGGAGGAGGGGGACCATAACCCCCTGCGGTGCTGCCCTGGACCTGCAGGGAGGAGGAAAGCTGAGTGCTTTTTGGGAAGGGGCAGAAGGGGAACATTTGGGGTCTTCTGAGCAGGCAACTGTATCCCCTGTCTTGCTGGTGGGAAACACTAATAATTTATTAGATTTACAAGAAGGTGATAAATTAAAAACTTCAGTCAGTCCATTGGAAACCCCACCCAGGGACGGGTTGGCTTTTGTTGCACCTTCTGTTCCTGTGTGTGCCCTTTCTCAACTGCTTCCAGCATCCAGTTGGTGTGGCATCCCAGGGGCCTGTCCAGGCGCAGGGGTGGTGACAGCCTTCCCCCTCACCACAGGGATGGTGACAGTGACAGCCTGGCTTTGCGATCAAGGGTGGCATCATGCTGGGGAAGGGGCACTGGGTTGGCATGAGCCAGACAGGCCCTTGCAGGGTGAGGGGTGCTGAGGGCATTTCTCATGAGCAGGAGGCGGCGCAGGCAGCCTCTCCACCAGGGGCACAGGCAGGGGTTTGCAGCATCGTTTAAAGTGGCATTTTACTTTGCACATTTTACTCCACTTTCAAACAAATCAAGCAGGGTCAGGCTTGGGGGTGGGGGGGTGTTGTATGGGGGTCTCCTGGGTGCCAGGGAGATGGAAGAAAGGGTCTTAGGCTACAGGTCCTCAACACCCTGCAAGATCAGCACTGCTTGGTTGCAGTGAGGCCCCATGGGCTTCCTTCCCCAAGCTGTTGCAGGGTCTTCCCCAGCTGAGGTGGTCAGAGAAGGAGGAAGCCCTTGGGAGAGCAGCCCCTAGGAGCTGTCTCCAGCCAAGACCACCATCTTCAGGAGCACAAACACCTCATGGGGCTGTGCTGCTTTTCTTCACCTGCCCTGACTGATGTAGGCTCCCCTGCCTGAGAGGGGGGTTGTTCCTCCCCTACCTCTTGCCCTTGCCCTCCTCCCTGTTGATAGCTCTGTCCCAGTGGCAGGCAGGGAACAGGATGGGTGGGAGAGGTGGACTGGAGCCCCTGGCACATGGAAGAAGGACTGACCCTGTTTAAAGACACTTTGTGAGGAGGTTTCTGGTCAGTATCAGTTGCCCTCAATTGCTTCCCCCCTCCCCTTGTGTAAAATATAAAGGAAAATAATAAATCCCTCTACTATTTAGCTATATTTATTTCCCTTAAGCCCTGCCACCATCCTGTTTGGTGCTCATTACGGACACGATCACCCTCCCTTTGCCTGTCATCTGTGGGCACTGCACCAGCTCCCTGGGGCTGTGCCCTCCAGGGCCTGAGAGGCCAGGTGAAAGGGGAATCACCCGTGCTGGCCCTAGAGCTCCAAGCACTTTAATCAACCAGAAGTGAAGTGTCAGCCCTGCCCACCTCAGCTGCCAGGAATGGTGGTTACATGTCTTTTCTCCCCTGTGCCTCCCACTAGAAGAAAGGAGTCAGACCCACAGAGAGCAGATGGGGGCTGCTTCAGAGAGGACATAGCTGCCTTTCCTGTACGAGACCTCTATAGGAATCCCAGGCCTGGAGAAAAGGGTGGATGGAACAGAAGAGATGTGGGTCTTCAGTGCATGGGGAGGGCAGGCCACACCAGCTTCCAGGGCTTGGTTTGGGCTGGAGAAATGGGTCTGAAGGGGCATGCGGAGAGTTGCCCATCCCCTCCAGGTAGTGGCTAGGAATGAAATGAGCATGTGAGCTGAGAGTTTCCAGTCCGCTTGCAGGCTGGGACAGGAGCGATGGTGATCCTGTTTCCCTATTCTTGCACCTACCTACTGCCCTTGCTTCTGGTCCAGCAGGTGGGCTGGGATGCTGTGGTCTCTGTAGGTATGGCCATGCTCTGGGGCTGCCACTGCAGCTGTCAGGGCCCTGCCCACAGAGAGCTGTGTGTTCTGAGTGGCACTGTCTGTGTAGAGATGTGTATAATACCCTGTATATATTTGTGTACAAAAGAAAAAAGAAAAAAATGAGCTATTGTTTGTGCAGTCTTTTCTTTGTGGAGTGGGTTGGGGGCTGGGACCTGGGAGGAGAGTACCCCAGCTGCTGCAGGGCTGCAGGAGCATCCGTGGTACAAAAGGAGGAGTGGGGAGTAGTGTGAACACAAGCCCTGCCCTGCTGCCAGGAACTCAGCCATGGCTCACAGGCTCTCTCTCACAGTATGAATGTTCCCTCTGACTTGCAGAGGCATTAGAGACTTTGCTGCTAAAACTAAGTAGATAGGCTGCTGTGTGCACTGAGGTTTGAGAATGATGTGGTAGGGGAGTTTCAGTGGTAGCCTCATGCCACACGTCAGCACACCTCTACTGTTGTAATAGGAAGTTACATAGCCACTCCTGCCATATCCATCCAAACTCTGGACACCTGGTTTGGGTGGATAGCTAAAGCCTTTGGGAAAGCGTGAGAGGTGCTCAACTCCTGTAGCACAGAGGAGCACTTTCTTGAAACATGCTGCACGTATGTCAGCCATCCCCTGAGTGCTGGGGCAGACAGCAAGCAGCCAGCCCCAGGATGCTCTCTGTGCAGGCTGGATCTGGCATGCTTCCCAGGAGCCTGCTGCATGCTATGCTCCTTACATTGTGCATGGTGACTGTTGCTTGTAGGAGGGAGCAATGGAAAGGCAAGGCCTGGTGTCTGTTGCTGAGAGACGAACAAGTGATCCCAACTCCATCCCTGCTTCATTGTGATCAGGCCTCATGGCTTCCTGTGCCAGCACTGCAGCACCAGCAGGGGCCAAAAGACCCTGCTGCCCACAGCCCAAAGGACAAGGGAAAAGACAATGCCAGAGAACAAAGAACTGAAGACAGAAGGAACCATGCCTGCTGTCAAGTGCAGCCATCACTCCAAAGGAAAGCTTGAGGGAAGGAAACAAGGAAATTGCACAGGGATTTTGCAGGTGTTTTAGAGTTCTTAGTTTATTTCCAAGCATAGGAAGGACATGTCACTTGCATTTGTGACAGGACTGTTGAGGTGCTGTCTCCAGGAGAGGGATCTGTGAAAGCAGCTTTGGGGTCACTGAAGGGTAATAAGGCAGGAGCGGAACAGGACAACAGGGTCGCAAGGATGGGCACAAACCCAAAAGAGGAACAAGCCCTGATACTACAGGCCTCTTGCTCTTTGACATTACAGTGCTACCTGCAACACCATGCAGAGCTAAATAATGTCTCCAGTTGGGACCGCCTTAGGCTTCCAGCCTGTGGCAAGCCTGGCTAGGAAAAAGATGGAGCAGCCCTTGCAACAACCCAGAGCAGGGTTACAAGGCCCCCTCTGCACCAGGATGGGCAGAACAAGCTGAATGTAACGGAGTCCCCTGTGTAGGGATAGGGCAGCTCTAGTGGGTTCCAGCCAGGACCGGACTGCTCCCTTGTTCGTGCAGCAGCAGGACCACGCTACAACTGGTTTTAAATATTTTGGTTGCCCTTCCCTCAGGTAAGGGACATAGCTCCTGGCCCCATATGCAACCTGCTCCCTGCTTAGGAAGGATTTACCCCCTGGGGGAAGTTGGGGTGCGGTAGAAAGCAGGTGCCCTGTGAGGCCTGGGCTCTCGCAGGCTCGATGCCAGCTGCTGCAGTGAGTCTGTATGGGCACAGCCTCCCCAGCTGCAAACAGGCACCAGAGAAGGAGAGGTAGCTCCAGGGTTGGTGACACCCGTTAGGATCACCGTTTGGCCCTGGCACCAAAAGAATGGCAATACAGGGTTTCTTTCCTGGAGTGGGGCTGGGCTGAGCTGCTCATGCCAGGCCATGTGAGATATACTGAGCTAAACCACACCAGGCCAAGCTGTGCCAATCCATGCTGTGCCAGGCAAAGCCATGTTGAGCCACACAGGGCTCCACGGTACAGTGCCAAGCCCTGTTTGGCCATGCCCGCTGGTAACAGCACCACCCAGCATAGCTGTGCCGTGAGTCATGGAGGGCACGCAGGGGCAGCCCCGATGTGTCTGCGGAAAACCCCAGGGCAGTGGGACCTGCCCAGAGAGGGCCCTGCTGGCACCCAGCAGCGAGAAGCAGCTGGTGCGGAGGGGGGGTGTTGCCAGCCGGGACACTTAGGGAGGCCGTGGCAGCTGGTGGTGGCGTTGTTGACCGTGACCACCTGGGCTTAGCGATTGAGGAGGTGCGGGCACAGTCCCTCCAGACATGAGGGAAGGAAGAAGGGACACAACAGTCTGCGATATCCAATGGAACCACCGTACTCAGCCACGGCACCAGAAGGTAAATAAGTCCTGAGGACAAGGTGCAGTACAGAGCTTCACCCAGCTACGCTGGGGTGCCGACAGTGTGGAGCAGTAACCCACAAATTTATTCCTAGGGCAAAGTTGCTTCCTCTTTTCCTTCCAGGTCCGGTTTCCGTGTACACCCAACCCTTTCCTCAGAACAATGGTGGAAGGAGCACGCCCATCTCGGTAGTACCCCTCCATCCCCGGGAGCTGGGAGATGGTGATAGCAGACAGAACCTAACCATCAGTCTCGATCCATAATCCCCTCCCAGTGTCTGTAAACTGTCACTGCTCCTTTAATTCCCCCTCCCACTGCCCTCCCGGCTTTGCTCGTACATCCTGCCCGCCGAAACTCCACCTTCCGCGGGGCTGTACGGAGCCGGGCTGGGCTGGGCCGGGCCGGGCCGAACTGAAGCGGGCAGGGCGGTGGCGGCAGCAGCTTCCGTAAGTCCATCTCCCCCATCCTCACCCTTATCCCATCACCAAAATGGGGTTAAGCACCGAAGGCAGCCCGCCGCCGGGCGAGCAAGGCTGCGGGACCGTCCGTCTCCCCCTCCCCGGCTGCTTCCTCTGTTTTCTAAGCTTATCTAGGTATGCCTACCCCTTCCATCCCCTTTCTATCTGCGGGGATTTTTGCACTAGGTAACGCATCCACAGAGACCCAGAGGCTTCCCAGTCGGGGCGGCGACTAAACTGAATACCGGCAGCCCCCCACGATGCGCTGCCGACCCCGAAGCCAAGCCCGCATCCCGTCAAAACGACGCAGTAACATAAAGCGGAGCCTCTGGGAAACGAGTATCTTTGCCATCCGGAGGGCTGGAAAGGGCCTGAGAGCTGCTTGAGCACTGTGGGATGCCATGGGCGCCTTGCCCCGAGCTGAGTATGCGGCAGGATACCGTGTTTCAGGGCTGGTTTTGAGGAAGGGAACTCCCCACTTCCGCTGATTTGCAAGAGCAGCTGGCAAACCAGAGATCTGCAAAGATTTTTGGCTGGACTTCAACAATGATGCTGCCCAAGGGTTTTGCAGTATGCGCTAAAGTGCACAAGGTGTCAGGGACCCTGCAGGAACCAGTGTGTCTTTTTGCTCCCACCTGGGACGGATCAGAGGTGCCTTGAGTACTGGAAAGCATCATACTGTAGTTAGATGTCACCTGTGGTGGAAAACTGCCCTGCGGGCTTGGCTTGTCTCATCACACCCCTTCCTCCTCGTGGAGGACCTGCAGTGTCAGTCAGCATAAGCCTAGGGAGTTGTCAGCAACTGACCCCATTGCTTTCAAGACCATTGCTTTCAAGGTGGTTCCTCTCCCATTCTGGGGTCTGAAATCCTTTTCTTTGCTCTGCGCTTGCGTGACCTCCGTCTGCCACTGAGCACAGCCTTCCTGAGTATTTTGAGCCACACAGCTAAGAATAACTCATACGGTGCCTGTGTCTGCACAGAGCTCCCCATGTCCGCAGCCATGTCCTGTGCTGGTAGGTAGGGTGGGGAAGGGCGTAGGGAACCTGTGTCAGGTTTTACACAACCTGTGTAGGGGGAGTTTCCTGGCCAGTGGCAGGTTGTGGTGTGAGTGCTGGGGAGATAGTGAGGTGGGATCTGGAGGCAGTGTGGGCAGCTGTACTTGGGATCCCTCCTCCCTCAGGCCCCCTGTGTTCTGGGCAGTGTCTGGGACTGGAGAAACCATCCTGCCAGCTCTGCAGGCACCGAATGCCTTGCCACTGGGAGAGACTGCCAGGGTGCTGGGTGCGAGGCAGGAGTAATAGGAGGAGCTCCATAGATTTGGGACCTTCATAGAGGAGAGAAGGGCAGGAGCTGCCCTGGAGAAGGGTAGTGGGTTTAGAGCATCCCAGAGCAGGCAGAGTGATGGGGAAGAGTAGAATTTTTCTTCTGAAGAGCTTCTGGCTAGGAAAGCCACATGGGTTAGCAGCCGAGTTTATGCCCTATGCATGTGCCAGGAGATTGCACCCTATTCGCTGTTGCCTGCCTTCCCTTTAGCTATCACAGCACTTTAGGACAAGGAAAGCTGCCTCTTTGGAGCCAGGCCGCACCCTGCTCCCCTGGGATAGGGTGCTGGGGAGGGAGCGGGCCAGCACTGCCATTTGAGTTTGGTGTTCTGAGTGGGTTGCTGGTTCTTGGCTTATTTACCCAAGGACTACGCCACTTTCTCACATGGAGAAACCTCTGAAGTATTCGGCACCATGCTGCCATGGTGCCTGGAGAGGGCTGAGGGCAGCTGGACGCCGGGAGGGGAGCTGGGACTTGCCCACTGCAGCGGGCGCGGTGGAGCAGGGCTGCGGGGCCAGACATGCCTGGCAGCTGTGTCAAGCTGGTTCGAAGCTCCTGGCCGTGAACAGCTGGTCAAAGCCGCGGGAGGATGTCCAAGGCAGGGATAGGTACGGGCTGGGGGCTCTGCGGTCTGTCCTGACCCACTCTCCTGGAGCCGGAGTGCCCCGCTGAACTCCGTAATCCCTTCCCGGTATCTCCCAGCAGGCTGCTCCACTGGCGGTCGACGAGCCATGAGTCATCCTCCCTCTCTGTGTGTATCTGTGTGTATCTGTGTGTGTCTGTGTCTGTATCCGTGTGTGTGTCTGTGTGTGTGTATCTGTGTGTGTGTGTCTGTATCCGTGTGTATCCGTGTGTGTGTTGGTGTGTGTGTCTGTGTGTGTGTTGGTGTGTGTGTCTGTGTGTGTGTCTGTGTGTGTGTGCCGTCCCGCCTCTTCCTTCCCTTGTCCTTCTCTGGCCCCGTAGCTAGAGCTATCTGC